CTGAGCCTTCTCTTCTCCAGGCTGCACAGTTCCTGCTCGCTGAGGCTCCTGCCATGGGACACGTTCCCCAAGGCCTTAAGCAGTGCCCTGGTGTACTTGGTGTACTTGGTACACCAAGTGTACTTGGTGCCTGGTGTGGTAGCCATGGATATGAAGACTTGTGAGCCCTGCCAGAGTTTGGGAAGATCGTGGTTAACCAAGGACAGAGCCTTCTGCAGTGGAATGATGGGCTGGGTATGYGAAGGGAGAGCAGTGCATGGACAACCTGAGTTAGCTTCATCTCCTGCCTTCCTCTTGRCAGAGACAGAGAAGCTCCAAGTGCTCGTTTCTCTAATGAGCGATTGTAGCAACTGCATGTGTAAAGGACCTCTCTCCGGGCACTGGAGGCGCTCCGCAGCCCTTCTGGCTTTGTCCACCATGCAAGCTATCATGCTGCTTGTGCAGGCTGCAGTTGAGCAAGTTGCATTCAGAACTCAGGGGACTTGGTCTCCCACAGACATTGGCCATTGAGAGTGACAAATKTTTTCTGGGTCTGRGCTGCCTGTGGCAGCACAGATCGCAGAGCCCTGGCCCCACCGGGCTTACGTGCGCCCTCCCTGGGCCTCCGTGCGCAGCAGGCCTCCCCGCGTCCTCCGAGCTTTACATGCGCCCTCCCCAGGCCTCCGTTCGCAGCTGGCCCCCCGGGAACTCTGGCCTTACGTGCGCCCTCCCCGGGGCTCCATGCCCAGATGGCCCCCAGGGCCCTCCAGGCTTACGTGCTCCCTCCCCGGGCCTCCGTGCGCAGCTGGCCCCCCGCATCCTCCGGGCTTACATGCACCATCCCCGGGCCTCCGTGCGCAGCTGGCCCCCCGGACCCTTTGGCATTTCATGCGCCCTCCCTGGGCCTCTGTGCGCAGCTAGCCCCCCCGGGCCCTCCGGCCTCACGTGCGCCCTCCCCAGGCCTCCGTGCGCAGCTGGCAACCTGGGCCCTCCGGCCTTTTGTGCGGCTTCCCCAGGCCACCATGAGCAGCTCGTCTCTCGGGCCTCCCCGGGCCTCTGTGCGTAGTTCGGTCTGCAAAAGTTTGGACCTCGCTGTTGGAGTAAATGGCCTGCTCAACAACCAAGTGTGTCCTTCATCCTCCTGGCGGTGCTTTCTGTTTCTGCAGGAGCGGAGGTTCAAASTGCCCCTGAAAGCTTCAGCACCGGCTGCATTTGCTCCTCCGGGAACGGGAAAATGGTGAGACTTCCAGGACGCAATGCAGCTACCTCTGCAGTTATAGCAGCTTGCTGGACTTGGCCTTCATGTGCTGAGGAAGGTACGTGCCACTGTGCTAGGCAAGAACCTGCAGCCAGGGAGGCAGCAGGAAGAGCAGTATTCCTGCCTCCARGAATCTCCTCAGCGTCTCTTGTCTCCTCAGTCCAGCTGCTGCATCCATGGTGTCGGCAAGGGGGAGAGGGAGGATCAAATGGGGGACAGCACGTGCAGCACTTGGCTGCGCATGGCTGTCCGTGACCCCGGAGGGATGGGATGCACCGATCCATGAAGGGCRATGCTGCTTGTGAGGACGTTGGGATAAGGGGAGGCACAGCCTCGACAGGGCGCACGGGACGCTCTGCGGATCATAGCCTTTCAAGTGCCTCTCCTGCTGCAGCGAGGTCCAGGGCACGCAGTGCCAGGAGCTCCGGTCGGACTGAGGATGGAGGCAGCRTGTCAGCATCCCCTCCATGAGGGAATGTGGATGAGACAACGGAGAAGGACAAGGGGGAAAAAATGAGGCAAGAATAACTGGGAAGGGCTAAACCAGAGCCRGAGGATGGTGGGAAAGGTGGCCGAGGCCCCGCACTGAGGGCCCGCAGCAGAAATGCTGCCTGCCGCCCGTGCTCCTTGGCGGCCCGCTCCCGCCCAGCCCCGGGCCCACCTCAGCGTGGAGCCCACTGCRGAGGGCTGCAACTGCCCGCCACACAACGGCAGCGGGAGGCTGCGCTTCAAGAGCTGCGTTCTGGCAAACACAGTGTCATAGATGAGGCGAGCCAATTTTCTCATCTACATTTTATTAAAGTAAGCTGGATACAAAGGGTGACAGCGCTGGGGCGGCCTGGAGGTAATCATTCTCAGGCCCCACTCAAGTC